TTGCATCAGATTTGCCCAGTGCAACACGTCTTCTGATTTCTTGTTTGCTGCTTCGGTTGGTGTTGATTGTGGAACCAAGTAACATGAAATCTTTGACAACTTTAGTCTTTTCTCCATTTATCATGAAACTGCTTATTCCATTTGTGAGGATTTTTGTTTTATGTTAATTATAATCTATAATGCAGACTGTAGCCTTTAACTTTCATCAGTAAATTCTTCAAGTCATTTTAACTTTCAGCAAGCAAGGATGTGTCATCTGTGTACCACAGGTTGTTAATGAGTCTTCCTCCAATCCTGATGCTGCATTCTTCTTCATATGCTCCAGCTTCTTGGATTATTTGCTCAGCACACAGACTGAACAAGTATGGTGAAAGGATACAACCCTGACACACTTCCTTCTTGATTTTAAACCATGCAGTATCCCCTTGTTCTGTTCCAATGACAGCCTCCTGGTCTATGTACAGATTCCACATGAGCACAATTAAGAGTTCTGGAATTCCCATTCTTCTCAATGTTATCCACAATTTGTTAGATCCACACAGTTGAATGCTTTTGCACAGTCAATAAAACACAAGTAAACATCTTTCTGGTATTTGCTTTCAGCCAAGATCCATCTAACACCAGCAATGATATTCCTCATTCCACATCCTCTTCTGAATCCAGCTTGCATTTCTGGAAGTTCTCTGCTGTAACCATTTTTTAACCAGCCATCAGAGAGATAAAAATCAAAATAATGATGAGATATCATCTCCCTCTAACATTAATAACAAAGTTCTAAAAAACAGAAAACAACAAATGCTGGCAAAGGTGTGGAAAGACTGGAACACTCATACACTGCTGATGGGATTGAAAAATGGTACAACCATTGTGGAAAGCAGTATGGTGCTTCCTTGTTGTTGTTGTTGTTGTTATGTGCTATCAAGTCGGACCTGACTCATAGCCACCCCTCCTTGGGTTTCTGAGGCAGTATCACTATGGAAGTAGATTGTCCAACCTTCCTTCCGAGGAGTGGCTGGTGGGTTTGAACTGCCCGCCAGCCTTCTGGTTAGCAGTCAAGTACCTTAGGCATTATGCTACCAGAGCTCCTTGGTGCTTCCTTAAGAAGTTGGAAATAGAAATATGATACAATCTAGCAATCCCACTGCTAGGTATATATCCTAGAGAAATATGAGCTGTGACATGAACAGATATATGTACACCCATGTTCATCACAGCACTATTCACAATAGCAAAAATATGGAAACAACTTAAATGGCCATCAACAGATGAATGGATACAGACTGTGGTACATACACACAATGGAATACTATACAACATTAAAGAATCATGATGAATCTGCAAAACCCTTCATAACATGGATGAATCTAGAGGACATTATGCTGAGTGAAATGAGTCAATCACAGAAGACAATTATTGTATGAGACCCGTACTACAAAAGGTTAAAAAAAGGTTTACACACTGAAAGAATTGCTCTTTGAAGGTTACTAGAGGAAGGGAGGGACAACACCAACTGGAGGGTAGACATGTATTGACTTGGGTAAAGGGGAAGACAATATACAATAAGGGGGAGGTCAGCACAAAATGCTCAAGGCAGTGGAAGACATAGGGAGGAACACAGAGTGAAAGGCAATGAAGGTGGATACTATTACCTACACAATCCTGCAATAATAATAACAGTATTTTACAAGTAGATACAGAGCTAATCAAAGAAGAATGAAGAAGTTCAAAGACACAGGGAACAATGAACCCAAAGGACTAACGGAACATGTGAACCTCAGCCTCCACAACCTTCAGATCAGAAGAACTAGATGCTATGCAGCTACCACTGCTGATCACTCTGGAAGGGATCACAATAGGAGGTCTTGGATAAAGTGTGGGAAAATGTGAAACAAAACTCAAAATCATAAAAAAGATCAGACTTACTGTCTGATGAAGACTGGTGAAACCCATGAGACTATGGCCCTTAGATACCCTTCCAGTTAGGAATTGAACTTAACCCCCGTGAGTCAATTGGCAGCCAAATGATAAACAGGCCTAAAAGGTAAACAGTAATATCAGGAGGGTATGCATTCATTAGAACAATCAAGCATATGAGATCAAGAGGTCAGCATTTGTCCCGGGATAGAGCCAGGAAGGAGGGAGGAGATGGGAAAGAAGGATGAAGGGAAGGGCTGGGCAGAGGAGGTGGGAGGAAAGCTGTTACAGTGTGGGGATTGCAGTAAATGTCACAAAACAGAATGTGTATGGATTGTTAAATGGATAACCAATTTACTCTGTAAACTTTCACCCAAACCACAATAAAAAAGCAAATTAAAAAAAAGAAAGCTATAAAAGAAAAAAATTACATCATAGCGAGGAGAGAAACAAATAGATCTAAATGTAAATGGTTAAGTGGTATTACTAGAAATGAAAAATGTGTTATGAGAAGGGACCCATCCCAACATTGGGTCTAACACACACATGAACTCACATGTGCACTGTGATAGTGTATGAAGGCTTCCTATGTAGGTAATTGTAAGCAAAGTCTTGAAGGACAATAGGAGTTGTAAAGGGAAAGGAGGCTGGAGCAGGTGTTTTGGACAGAGCCCTAGCAGCATCAACAGAAGCCTGTAAACCAGAGAGAGAGCACCACCTGTGTGGAGAACTCTAAGCAAATCACAAGTAGAATACGAAAAGAGATGAAGCAGGGCAGAATAACAAACAGGCTTGTAAGTCCTGCAAAGGAATTTGGGCTAAATGCGGAAGGTGAGGAGAAGCCCCAGGAAAGCTTTCAAGCACAGGAGTAGCACACTTAGATTTGTATTTTAGAAGTACTTGTGTTGTTGTAGGGTACCATCAAGTCAATTCTAGCTTATAGCAACTACTTGTGACAGAGGAGAACTGCCCCATAGAGTTTTCTAGGCTGTAATCTTTACAGAGCAGGGCACCAGGATTTTTCTCCACAGAGCCCACTGTATGAAAAAAGATGGACTGGAGGGAGGCAAGATGAAAGTCAACCAGCGCCCTTTACAGTAATCTGAACAAGCCATTGTGGAAGCCTAAACTAGACTGAGGGCAGACAAATGTGCAGAAATACTAGATGTTTCAGGGGACTTTATTTATTTATTTATGCCATTTCAACCATATTTATTTATTTGTTTTAAACTTTTAATTGTGATTTGGGTGAACATTTACAGAGCAAATAGGTTTTTCATTCAACAATTCATACACCTTTTGTTTCATGTCATGAATTGCAATCCCCTCAATGTAACATCATTTCTCCCACTTCCTCCCTGTGTTTCTGGTTTCCATTCCTCTTTCTCTCCTAATCTTTCCTGCCTTCTGAACTTTGTCCTTGGGCAAATGCTGCCCTTTTGCTCTTGAATGGTTGACTGTTCTAAAAAATGTGTACCTTCCTAGAGTTATTGTTCACTGTAGACCTGTTTATTGTTTGAATGAAAATTGAGCTACTGGAGTGGGTTCAGTTCCAGGTCCAAAGGATGACAAAGGGCTATTGCCTTGGGGGTTCCGCTAGTCTCTATCAGACCAGTAAGCCTGGTCTTTTTATGATTTTGAGTTTTGTTCCACGTTTTTCTCCCACTCTATCCTGGACCTTCTCATTTGATCCCTTTTAGAGTAGTTGGTAGTTGTAGCCAGGCACCATCTAGTTCTTCTGGTCTCAGCATTGTGGAGGTTAAGGTTCACGTGGTCCATTAGTCTTTTGGGCTATTTCCATGTGTCTTTCATTTTCTTCATTATTCTTTGCTCCAGATGGGAAGAGACCAATAGTTGCACTTTAGATAGCTGCTTGGAAGCTTTTAAGACCCCAGTCACTACTCACCAAAATAGGACATAGAACAATGTCTTTGTGGACTATGTTGTGCCAATTCACCTTGATGTCTCCTGAGACTATGATCCTGAGGCCTCAGGCCCAGTGACTTAATCTCAGAGTCCTGTATGATAGTAAAATCTATAGGACTTGGTGGATGACTGGCTGTTTCTCATTCTGCATGTAAAGAGATTACTTTGGGTTATTTCTTTGGTTATTTTTTGCACAAACTATATCACTTCTTTCACATGAGTACAATTGATTTATTGTTTTAAAGGGTTGAGTAAATTTTAAAATTACCATTATATTTATTTATAATTGTTAGCTCTCATCAAATTGGCCCTAACTCATGACGACTCATGTACAACAGTCAACAATTGTGATCCATAAAGTTTTCTTTGGCTGTTTTTGGAAGTTAGATCACCAGGTCTTTCTTCCTAGTCTTTCTTAGTTTGGAAGCTCCACTGAAACCTGTTCAATCTCTTAGCAACATGCAAACCTCCATTGACAAATGGTGGCTGTACTGAGGTGCAATGGCTTGAAATTGAACCAGGGTCCATTGCATGGAAGATGAGAATTCTGCCACTGAACTATGAATGCCAATTATTTATACTAATGTAATATTTGCTCCTGAGAGAAATTTGAAAAATACAGAAAAAAAAAGAATTATTCATGATTCAGAGATAATCACAGTGAACATTTTGGCATTTTTCCTTCTAGCATTTTTCCTAGTATAATTGCTTTATTTAAAACTTTTTATTATGGGAAAGTTTAAATACATACATAAAAAGTAGAGAGAAGAATACAATCAACCCCAATATATCCACTTCAACTTCCTTAACCATCAGTCTTCTTCCCATTCTTTGGTTGAATGTTAAACCATGAGCAAGTTTTCACATTTAAAAAAAAAAAATCTAATAAAAATTTAGCCTGTTGACATCATTTTGTTTTTGTAATCATGGATGTTTGGCATGAACTAAACCAGCTAGTTCTTTGGCCGTTTTTTAGATATTATGTCTTCACTCAAAACACTGATTGAACAGGACAGTAAAAACATCAGAGTATACCACTGGGGACCTGAAAAAACACCAGATTCCCCATCTCCTTAGGGAAGAGGAATGCAGAGGATAAGTATTTTGGGGAGAGAGAGATCCTCAGCAGGAAACAGCAGCTTGTGCTGTGACTCACTCACCATGGTTGTCTCGGCAATGGAACCAAAGCTGTTGATGAAAATGTTGCAGCTCACATTCACCGGGGGACCTGCCAATCAAGAGAGAGATTCCTGTTCAGCCCACTGGCCATGAAGAAGCCCATCAGACAGGACCCATTCCTAGGAACACTGACTTCAAGGATGGATTCCCCTTGGTAGAGGAGGCTCCTGCTTGCCCTGCACTCCACCCCTAAGCACCTGGGATTCCCAGGCATCATTTAACACCATTATGCCAGATTCCTTTGTCCCTTAGTGAGAGCCAGGTACAGAACACCAGAGGCTGAGCTGAGATGTTCTTTCATTAACACAGGATGATTCATCATCCTGCCATATGGTTGAAATCCCTTCCCCAAACCCCAACGGCTGCCTTCTAATTTGTGGCTGAAATGTATTTACGGCTACAACATTTGGAGGCCATCTTGGGAATCATAGGGAACAGCAAGTTCCTTGCCCTGAACTTATGAACCAAGAATGATTGCCTGAAAGGGTGATGATGGGAATACCAGCTGAGGATTTCAGAAGGAACCTCAAGGGAAGTTCACACATCTTTGTTAAATATTTCCCAGCCAAGCTTTTTGAATCTTGCTGCAAAGGATAAGAAAGAAGTGGAGGCAAATTTCTGGTTTTGGAAATTCATGCCAGAGGTATCTCTGTCTGTTGAAGTCCAATCTCCTCATTTTATGCTATTAATTATAGCAGCTGTGATTTACTGAGCACTGTGAGATTCCGCACTCTGCTGAGACTGTTACTAACATTGTCTCATGAAAAGGTATGGTTATTACCTCTTTTATAGATGAAGGAACAGAGACTCAGAAAGGTTACATTATTTGTTCAAGGCTACACAGATAAGTAAGTAAATGGTTGAGCCAGCGTTTGGGTTCAGATTTCTCTAATTCTAGAACTGGTGGTCTTAATAGCTATACTTACAGGGTTAAGCCTCAGAGAAAGATAAGGGCATGTTCAAGGTCACACAGAAAATGGCACTGGGCCTTACCTGAGCTGACAAGAGGGTCAGCATAAAATAACCAGTGGAGAATGTGTGATCATGGGTAGGTGTGGCAAAAGCAGTAGGAGTCCAGATGAAAGAGAGATTCCGGAGAGCAAGGCAATTTAGGGAGGCCCCATAAAAGTGAGGAAGTAGAGCTGACCTTGAAGGGGGTTTAACTGCCTTTCAGTCAGCCCCAGGTGTAGTGGAATGGAATGGAATGAATACCTGATCCTGTGCCATTCTCATAATAGAGTGCAGATGCAACCATTGTGCTCCATAGGATTTTCTGTGGCTGATTTTCAAAGTCAGATCAGTGGGCCTTTTTTCCTAGTCTGTCTTAGTCTAGAAGTTCCACTGAAACCTATTCAGCATCACAGCAACACTTAAAGTTCCACTGACAGATAGATGGTGGCTGAGCATGAAGTGCGTTGACCATGAATTGAACTTGGGTATCCAACATAAAACCCATTGCTGGTGAGTCGGATCTGACTCATAGCGACCCCTCCTTGTGTTTCCGAGGCAGTATCATTACGTAAGTAGATTGCCCCATCTTCCTTCCGAGGAGTGGCTGGTAGGTTTGAACCGCCAGTCTTCTGGTTAGCAGTCAAATGCCTTAGGCACTATGCCACCAGAGCTCCCGGTATCCAATATGGAAGGTGAGAATTCTACCACTGAACCATAAGACTTGGATAATAGGTCACAATCCTTCACAAGGCAATTGTAATTTGCAGTTGGCAATTTTTTTTCAGGTCCACTTTCTTATTGATCCCATGAGGTACTGATGTAGGCGGGGAAGGTTGTTGTCTCTACTTCACAGATGGACCACAGAGAGTTTTAGTGACTCACCCTGTCTCATTGAGCTCACAAGTGATGGAGTCAGAACTTGAATGCAAGTTTTCTGATTGTGGAAGTAAGAAAGCAGGTATCCTTGTGTGCTTGGGTACCCACTTCTTCCTGTCCCTTTTGAAAAAGTAGCCTAAGCATTATACCCAACCTCAGCCAATATTTCTTGCTTTTCAGAAATCTTAGTGAAGAGGAGAGGACCCAGTATTGGAGTGAGAACCCAGACTTTCCCTCCAAGGACTGTCAAGACTTTTGTGTTTTAGACAAACCTTCAGCATTCACTGGCTGTTTGACTCAGGCATACCCCCTCTCCTTCTGGTTCTCAACTTCTCCCATTAATCTGGAGGGAGAGTAGATCTTGGTCTGACCAGTCACTCTCAACTCAAATGGTTGGCATTCCCCTATAGAAGCCATCAATTTGCATTTCAGGGTTAGCAGATTTCAGGGCTGAAAGATATTTTAAAGGTCACCTAATCAACTGCTTCCCAAATTCTGGTCTGTAGTAGAATCACCTGGGGGACTTGTTAAACTGAGCATGCCTTGGCTCAACCCTAGACCCAGTGAACCCTAATCTTTGAGGATGGGCCCAGAATCTATTGTTTAACAAGTTACCTGGGTGATTTTCATGCACAAGTAGGTTTGGGAACCCTTGCTATAGACCAAAAGGAGGCCTCGTTGCACAGTGGTTAGGTGCTTGGGGCTAACCGAAAGGTCAGTTGTTCAAACCCACCAGATGCTCTGCAGGAGAAAGATGGGGCAGTCTGCTTCCATAAAGATTTATAGCCTTAGAAACACTATAGGGAAGTTCTACTCTTGCTGCAGAGTCACTATGAGTTGTAATTGATGCCATGGTTATGGGTTTGGTTTGTTTGGTTTGCTATGGACCAGCTACTCCTTAATGGCTGAGTGCCTGAACACCTCCAGCAGCTGCAAACTCATCACATCCTGAGCAGTCCTTTCCATAGTTGGACAGCTCTGTTAATTTTTTTTTTCTTTATGCTGAGCTGAAATCTGCCTCTTTGTCACTTCCACCGAAACAAAGGCCCGTTCTTTTTTTTTTTTTTTTTCTTTCTTTCTTTCTTCTCCTCATTTTGACTCAGACCCAGGTTTCTCTTTTTACTTGGACTCATACTATTAAAATGCCCCAAAGAGTTACTGCCCGCTCCTGGAAATGACATGCACAGAGTTCCCACCCAGGGCCTGCAAGTGTCTGGCGCTGTGACTCCCATATAAATTAGATCCTGATTTGTGTGTGTGAGAGGGAGCCAGCCAAAAAGACCCCATGGGGAGGTGCAGTTCATTGAAATAAATCTGAAATTAAATTATCCTCAAGAAAATTACAATCTGGCAGCCTTTGGCAGCAGGATAATGTATATAGTTCATTAAATATTAAACTTTAATTTTGCTTTTGTGTATGTGTTTGCATTGATCCCTAATGCCGGGAGCCATTATAATACAAACAGTCTTAGAGAAGACATAGACTATCAGAGCTGAAGGGCCTGGTCCTACTGAATCATTTCACAGATGCAGAAACAGAGGCCCAGACACATGACATGATTTATTCAGCGTCACACATATCAGGAGAGCAGAGGAAAGACTAGAATCAAGTTTTTGTGCTCTTTATTTCCCTGTTAATGATTTGCATTGCCATTGTGTCCTGCAGATAATGCTGGCTGTTCCTGACCACGCTGTCTCTAGGAGAGAAGGAGCAGTGAAAATTTCTGGTGACTTAAGGAGCCGTTGAGTGATTAATCACTCTGTGGAGTTTTCAAACAATGCTGGCCTCTTCCTATTGTGTTTGGGTCACACGGGCTACGTCTGCATGGCCTTTTCAGGAGCTCTCTGGCTTGTCTGGGGCTTTGGGAATGTTATTTGTGCCTGGACAGAAGTGAAAAAGGGACTTACAGGGACATAGGGACAGAAGACCCCAGCATGCTAACCTTTCAGCCCTCACCACAGGGAAAGGGAGAGAAAGCTAGCAGGCCAGTGCATAGGATGGGGTTCTAGGGAGCTGCTCCCAAAGTTGGGAGTAAATTGAAGGCCAATGTGGGGTTGGGAGAGACGTAAGGGATGATCTGGTCCCATGTATTTCGGGCCCAAGTGTTCTGAGTCAGGTTCCGAGCATGGAGGCAAAAGTCCTGATTCTATGATTTCATAGTCTTGGTGAAATTTTATATATTAAAAATTTTTACTGCTAAGTAAGTAAGTAAATAAATCACCAGTATTATAGGAAAATCATTCAACCACTCTAAGCCCTAGCATATATTCTTTTGTTTACTCATCTATTCACTTTTGAATGAGGGTCTTTTGTGTGCCATGCACAGCGATATGCATAAAGGGTAACTAACACATGGACCCTAGATGCTCAGTCTAGTCTGGGGCTTCCCTGCAGACTGCCATTTCAAGAGAAACCACCAGGGGGCAAGCTGAGCTGGAATTCCCCAAAACTGCTAGGGACAGAGGATGCAATCTGGTGGCCAAAGACCTTAACCTGTTCTTCGACATGTTTGATGTGTTTTACAGTGTTTTAAAAAGATTTGATTTAGTTGTTAAATTGGAACAATGTACATAAAACCCCAGATTTAAGTCTTATCTTGGAAGGCCTGACAGCCCAGGGCTTGCATTCCTCCCAGCAGCCTTCTGCAGAAACTGAGAAATGGGTGTTCTTAGTCCACCCTTGTGCTTCCTTGCTATCTTTTCTTATATTCATCCTGCTTCATTCATGTATAATACTTGCCTGGTCCTGCTGGGTATTTGAGATTGTTAGCCTGAAGAAGATGCTTGGGCTGAGTGTGCTATGATAGCAACCTTGGTTCTGACTTGCTGACCCTGGGGGAAACCTGGGTTATGCTAGCAAGGCTGGGACACATGGGCTCAGGAGCCAGGTGCTGGTGGAGGGGAGGAGCCTCAGGTAAACAGGGGTAAGAGGTGGGGCCAGCCTCTGTACACTTCTCAGATCCTTTTCTAATTGAAGAGTCTTGTGTGGACAGAACACTCTGAAGAGACATTGAGAATGGGGGACAAAGTGAGCAAATATTAGCAAGCTGTTATCAGCTGACACATCCCTTATTTGGTCTTGGACTTGAGCCAAAAGGAACAGTGAAGAAGGGCTTCTGGAATCAATAAATGATTAAGAGGCTGACTATGGGTTCTTGACTAAGATTTTTGCAGCAGCTGGAATAAAGATCAGCACTTACAGTCTCCCAAGAAAGTCCTTAAGACTACAGCTGCAGAATTCTGCTCCAAAATATGTGGTGGTCACAACGTCCTAAGACATCCATGAATAAAGAGAAGTGTTCCCTTTTTAGGTCCCTGGGTGGCACAAATGGTTTGCACTTGGCTGCTGATCAAAAGGTTGGTGGTTTGAACCTGCCCGGTGGCACTATGTAAGAAAGGCCTGACACATTGTCCATAAAGACTCCAAGCAAGTTCTATTTTGTAACACATGGGGTCACCATGAGGTGGAATTGACTTGACAGCAGCTGGATTTTGGTTCCCTGATTATTATAGACATTAAGGTCTCACAAGATTGTCAGAACTAAAAGAACTTCTCAAATAACCTAGACTAGAGGCTATAAATTGGCTACCCACAGGGCATATCTGGCCATGGGCATGTCTTCCTTGACTTTGTATGCTTTAAGAAGCAGGAAGTTTCATGAACAAGCTTGATTCCTTTTAGAATATTGGATGAGATGGCAACATTCTGCTCACAATCCTGTAGGGTATCCTCAGGCTAGGGCTAAGGGGAAGCAGTTTCCTTTAGAGGGCCTGTACTGCCATTTCTCCATAGTCTCTACCACTCCCTATTGTCTTACTCATTTAAATTACCTACCCAAGCCCTGTACCAAAACAAACAAACAAAAAAAAACAAACTCTACTGCCATCAAGTCGGATCCAACTCACAGCGACCCCTCCTTGGGTTTCTGAGGCTGTATCACTACGGAAGTAGATTGCCCCATCTTCCTTCCGAGGAGTGGCTGGTGGGTTTGAACCGCAGTCAAGTGCCTTAGGCACTACGCTACCAGAGTTCCCATTAAATGCCTTAGGCATTTGAAATTGTAACTCTAATTTTGGCTAGAAAGTTTCAAAATTATTTGTCAGTCCAAGGTAGTTGGAAGCCCCTTATCTAAAGCCAATAAAAATGGAGCTGTGGGGAGAAGTAGATGTGGGCTTGCTCACTATGCCTTATAGCTCCATGACCAAAACCCACTGCCATTGAGTTGATTCTGAGTCATAGTGATACCCATAGGGTTTCCAAGGCTGTAAATCTTTACGGAGCGGAGCAGCTGGTGAGTTCATACCACCAACCTTTTGGTTAGCAGCCCAATGCCTTAACCATAGCACGACCAGAGCTTCTTAGAGCTCCATGAAGCATAGTTGAAAAATCACAGGTATAGCCAACCCCATAACTGCAGAGATAACGGAATTGAAGCCTAGAGAATGGAAAAGACTTACCCTAGGTCAGAGAATAAGTTTGTGTTTAAGTCAAAAGTTGAACCCATTTCTCTACATTTAATGTTTATCATTCTCTCCATTATACCTCAGATAGATGTCAAGTTGTTAGTTGCTGTCAAGTTGGCCACAGATGCATGGCAACCCCATGAGCAACAGAATGAATTGCTGCCTGGTCCTGTGTCAACATGATCAGCTGGGGATCAGACCATTATGATCAATAGGGTTTTAACTTGTTGCTTTTTTATAAGTAGATCACTAGGCCTTCCTAGTCCACTTAGTTCAGAAACTCTGCTAAAACTTGTTCAGCATCATGGCAACATTCAAGCATCCTCTGATAGATGCGTGGTAGTTACACACGAGGTACATTGGCTGGAAACCAAACCTGGGTCTCCCATGTGGAAGGGAAGAATTCTACTACTGAACCACCACTGCCCGCACTCAAGGAATAGCAACCCAAATCCACTGCCCTTTAGTCACTTCTCACTCATAGAAACTCTATAGGACAGAGTAGAACTGCCCCATAGGGTTTCCAAGGCTGTAAATCTTTACAGAAGCAGGCTGCCACATCTTTCTCCAGTAAAGTGGCTGGTGGGTTAAACCACCATCTTCTGGATTAGCAGTCAAGTGCTTTAACCACTGTGCCATCAGTGCTCCTCAGCAAGGACTCTGCAAATGCACTTTTCATCTTTATTAATCCATGTTGGGTCTTGAGTTCTCCAGTGAAAAGACAAAGAGCCATGAGTAGAGTGACCATATAATTTATCATCCAAACTGGGGCAATTTTGAGACTGCAAGAAAGTGGTATTATTAATTAAACAGCAATGATGGACCTAAATTGTTATTGTCTCAAGCAAGCCAGGATATGTGGTTTCTGTAGCCAAAAGGCCCAGGGTCAGGAATTTACTAGGTAATGAAGAGTTGTTGTGTGCCCTCGAGTTGATTCTGACTCATAGGACAGAGCAGAACTGCTCCGTGGGGATTTCCAAGGCTGTAAATCTTTACGGAAGCAGAATGCCACATCTTTCTCCCGAGGAATGGCTGGTGGGTTCAAATCACTGAGTTTTCTGTTAGCAGCCAAGCACTTTAACCAGTGTGCCATTGGGGGTCCTCAGGGATAGCAAATAGATCTTAGTTCACATACTGGCAATTGACTCTTGGCAACCAGCGATCCTGTTGAATTGTATTCTCTGAGGCTTTGTCTGGGCTCAGTGGGAGAGAAGGAGGAATTAACACTGTCTTCTGTAGAATCCAAACTGATTTGGCAGCACCTAACAACAACAAGCCTTGAGTAGAGGAGATGAACGTCATGAGTTCATACCACATATTAACCATCACACAAGGGAAGTGTCCCCTTTTTAGGTCCCTATACTGAACCACCACTGCCCCTACTCAAGGATAACAACCCAAATCCACTGCCCTTTAGTCACTTCCCACACATAGAAACACTATAGGACAGAGTAGAACAATGATATATCATTGCTGCTTGCTTCTCTAATCAAGGAACACATATCCCTGGAGGTCTGGAAAAGAAAGTTTTCCCTACCTTTAAAATTGGGCCTGATCCTGGCATCATATCCAGAGGTTCTCCCCATTAGCTTATCCAGGAAATCGGAGGGTGACATAGGCTTGGGTGCGGAGCGGGCAGCATCAGCCTCCTTAGAAGCAGCAAGGCTAAAAAAAGGAGAGAGGAGAGCAAAGGGTTAATGATGGCCCTTCCCTGTGCTGTGATCACAGCCACCCTTGTCCTGCCCTGTAGAGCCACCAGAGTGTTCTGAGCCTAAGAAATGGAGAATACGAGTTCTTAATGAGGCAAGGCTCAGACTAAAATGTTTACCCAGCCCAAACATCAGCCAACGTGGGATGCTGGCAGAGAACCAAGTATCTGATTGATGATGAGAAGGCACTGACTATTTTAAGGCTGCATCTCTGAGGTTTTTAGCAATCACACTCAGTTCCTGGGTTTCCCTAGAAGAGGAGATGGAAGGGTTAATTTCCAGCTAGGCCCAGACCTGTGTTTTGGGTGTCTGCACTCTCATAGGTCCATGGAACATCATAGCCAGAAAGGACCCTAGAACCAAACACTCCAGCCTTTCCTCAAAGGTTATGTGCAGAATACAAGTCACTATTTTTTTTTTTTTTTAAGTTGCCAAAGTTAAATGCATGTGGAAACACAAATTTAGTCAGGCATCTTTAATGCAAGATTTTCACCTTTAACAAGCTTATATGCCTCTGCTACCCTGGGACTATTTTCTCATAAAGCAGACACTTCAGAAAATGCTCCATTGGGAATGGAGGCTCAAGCAAAGGAAGGAACTGACCTAGGTCCTAGAGTAAATCACAGAGTGGATGAACTATCTTGATGTGTCAGGAGTTGGGTGATTTGAAGTCAAATTGCTTGGGATGCTTCACACTGCTCCTGTCACTCCTCCTCCCTGCTTCAACAAAGTGATTTCAGGTCCTCATGCACACAACAGTATGAATTACTAATATCTAAGAATAGTCTTATTCATTAAATACGTTTTCCGACAACATACAGGGTGACTGTACATGCGGTCCTCACTAGATGAAATACATAGGAATTAAATCAATACATCTGTGGGAAGAGGTGATGGAGAAGCTCAATATCATCAGTCAAAACAAAGTCAGGAACTGAGTGTGAAACAGACCATTAATTGCTTACATGCAAGTTCAAGTTGAAGCTGAAGAAAATGAAAACAAATATGTGAGAGGCAAAATATGACTTGAATTTAGAGACCATCTGAAGAATAGATTTGACACATTGATTACCAATGACTGAAGACCAGACGAGTTGTGAGTTGACATCAAGAACATTGTATATGAAGAAAGCAAAAGATCATTAAAAAGATAGGAAAGGAAGAAAAGACCGAAATGGATGTTAGAAGACATTGAAACTTGCTCTTGAATGAATGGTAGCTAAAGACAATGGAAGAAATGATGAAATAAAAGAGCTGAACAGATTTCAAAGGGTAGCAGAAGAAGACCAAGTAAAGTATCATAATGAAATGTGCAAATACCTGGAGTTAGAAAACCAAAAGGGAAGAACACTTTCAGCATTTCTCAAGCTGAAAGAACTGAAGAAAAAATTCAAGCCTTGAGTTGCAGTATTGGGCAAAATATTGAACAATGCCAGAAGCATCAAAAGAAGATGGAGGGAATACACAGAGTCATTGTACCAAAAAGAATTGTTTGACATTCAACCATTTCAGGAGGTAGCCTGTGATAAAGAACTGAGTGTATTGAAGGAAATGTCCAGACTGCACTGAAGGAATTGGCAAAAAACAAGGCTCCAGAAACTGACAGAACACCCTTTGAGATATTTCAGCAAAGAGATGTGGCCCTGGAGGTGCTCACTTGTTTATGCCAAGAAATTTGAAAGACAGATACCTGGCCAACAGACTGGAAGAGATCAGTATTTTTGCCAATTCCAAAGCAAGGTGATGCAACAGAATGGAAATTATTGAACAATAGCATTAATATCATATACAAGAAAAATTTTGCTGAAGAGAATTAAAAAACTGCAGCAGTCTATTGACAGGGAATTTCCAAAAACGCAAGCTCGATTCAGAAGACGACATGAATGCTGATGTCAGAGAGATCTTGGCTGAAAGCAAAGAATACCAGCAAGATGTTTACCTGTGTTTTACTGACTATGCAAATACATTCCACTGTATGGATCATAACAAATTATGGATAATATTTTGAAGACTACGAATTCCAGAACACTTAATTGTGCTCATGAGAAACCTGTACATATACCAAGAAGCTGTCATTTGAATAGAACAGGGGGATACTGAATGGTTTAAAATCAGTAAAGGTGTATGTCTGGATTGTATCCATTCACCATACTCATTCAATGTGTATGACGAGCAAATCTGAGAAGCTGGAATTTATTAGAATGCAGCATCAGGACTGGAACTAGACTCATTAACAACCTGTGATATGCAGATGACACAAACTTGCTTGCTGAAAGTGAAGATAACTTGAAGCGCTTACTGGTGAAGATCAAAGACTACAGCCTTCAGTATGGATTACACCTCAACATATAACAAAAATCTTCGCAACTGGACCAATAAGCAACACCATGATAAGTGGAGAAAAGTTTGAAGTTTAGGGATTTCATTTTCCTTAGATCCATGATCAACAACCATGGAAGCAACAGTCAAGAAATCAGACATTGTATTGCACTCGGTAAATCTGCTGCAAAAGACTTTTTAAAAATGTTAGAGCAAAGATTTCACTTTGAAGACTAAGGTGTGCTGACCCAAGCCATGGTAGTTTCAATCACCTCATATGCATGTGAAAGCTGTTGGAAGCAGATAGCCAGAACTTTCTTCTCCCCAGGTGCTTCTGGGAAGGTTCAAATTACTAACCTTTCAGTTTGTAGCTGATCGTTTAATCATCTGCATCACTCAGAGACTCCTGTAACATTGCATTTTAAATGGGGTAAACATTTCAACATTTTTCACATATTCACATTTGGTGAATTTATTGTGTTCATTATGCTGTGCAACCATCAGTGTTATCCATTCTCCCATCATCCTTAACAGAAGCTCAGTGTCCCCTAAACAGCAGTCCCCTTTTTCCCTTCCCTCCCTCCCTGATAACCACTAAGTCTATATTTCCTTGCCTATACTAAATATTTCATATGAGTGGGTCATACAGTATTTGTCTTTTTCTGTCTGAATTACTTCATTCAGGATGATGTTTTTAAGACTTGTCTGCATTGTAGCATGTATCAGGACTTCATTTCTCTTATTTAGTTTTTTTTTTTCCTAATTGATATTCTTTAGGACTACAGAAGTCTGAACTTTTTATTGGCCAGAAGGTCTACCTGAGAGAGCTGAAGTGAGAGGAGTGGGTGGCCCTGATGCCAGGCTGGTGGTAGAGAACTCACTCAGGTAGTAGCTGATCATCTGGAGCTTAATCTCTACCTGGTCGATAGTCTTGCCATTGCAGGCATCCACCATGCTGCCATACCTTCCACAGCATGATCACATTGCACAGGTGCATCTTTATGCCTCCAGCTATGTGTGCCATGTCTCTTTCTTGCCCTCTGCAGCCCCTCCATCAGCAAGTGCTGCTTCTGTCACTGGCTGTGGTTTAGCTGCTGCTGCTACCACATGCCATGCAGCTGCACAAGCCACTCCTAGAACAGTCCAGCAGCAGCCTGAGGGCCACCCTCAGTAGGTGAACTTCCTCAAGGTCAGCTCCTTTTTCTGCTCCACTTCAGCCATCTTGTGGATTCTTGGGAAGGGAGCATCAACACCCACATATCTCTTTATGGCTGAATAATATTCAATTTGTATGCATGCACCAAGGAGCCCTGGTGGTGGAATGGTTAAGTGCTGGGATGCTAACCAAAAAGTTTGTGGTTTGAACTCACCCAGCTCTGCAGGAGGAAGACGTGGTGATCTACTCCCATAAAGATCACAGCTTAGAAAACCCTGTGGAGCAGTTCTACTCTGTCACATGGAGTTGTTATGAGTTGGGAATCCATTCTATGGAGGCCAACCACAACAATGCACATACCACGATCTGTGTATCCTCAGCTGTAATTTTTAAATGATAATCTATAATGGATGACTCTCAAATCTCTATCTCCACTCTAATCTCTTCCTTAAAACCCCTTTCCTCATTTTCAAACACCTGCAGTGTATGTACATCTAGATATTCCACCTGTGCCTCAAAATCAGTTCTCAAACTGAATACAACAACTTCCTCCCCAAACTCATTCCTCCAGTTTATAGTTTCCACAGCAGCACAGACATTTCTCTATTCTCTTGGACTGGGAACCCCAGAGCCAGCTTGTCTCCTTGTCCCTCTCTCCTCTCAGATCCCCTTGGTCACCAGATCCTGCCACCTCAAATCCTGCCCCATGTTGTTGTTGTTGTTATTTGCCATCGAGTCAGCCCGACTCATAGTGACCCCTCCTTGGGTTTCCGAGGCAGTATCACTACGGAAGTAGGAATGCCCAACCTTCCTTCTGAGGAGTGGCTGGTGGGTTTGAACCACCAGCCTTCTGGTTAGCAGTCAAGTGCCTTAGGCACTATGCTACCATAGCTCCTTCCTGCCCCATACTACCTTGAAATATAGTTACTTAGGTTTGTATTTTAACAGTGGAAAGCATGGTAGTTTTTTTTATTTAATCCCGACTGTGTCCACCATGAAGGAGCTCTGGTGGCACTGTGGTTAAAGCACTGGGCTGCTAACCAAAAGGTCAGCAGTTCAAACCCACCAGCTGCTCCATGGGAGAAAGATGAAGCAGTTCACTTCTGTAAAGATTTGCAGCCTGGGAAACCTCATAGGGTAGTTCTGCTCTGTCCTATATGGTGTCTATGAGTTGGAATTGACTCACAGTCAGTGAATGTGTGTCTACCATGGTTTCTTAAACATAATTGGTACTCAATTATTGCATAGTGAATGAATAATTTGCTACTTTGATCAGATATCCTGATTTGTAAGAAGTGTTCATGCATATTTTATATATTGATTAACAATTTAAAAATAATTAGGTTATTATAAAATACCCAGCAATGAAAAATACTGAAAACAATTTAGTGTCCTTTTGAAGATTCAGAGGTATTCTAAGATTTATGTAGACATTCTAATCTAAAGAGCTTTTGTTCATATCCTGAAGAGTTAGTTTCAAC